CCTCCTGTAGAAGTGCACTGACAATGAGGGGGCAGCTCCTGAATTGAGCGTCTGCCCCCTGGTGGTTAGTGCGCATCATAGTGACCGGTCATTCCCAGTTGTTCCGCAGTTAGGGTCAATTTGCATATTATCCTTTTATTTTATAGGACTTAAAAATTCTGAATTATCATAGCTGATATTGACCCAAAGTAGCAATTAGCATGATGTATCGTAATTTTATGGTTTACAGAGTATCGAACCTGCAACTTAGCTATATGCTCTGACTGGGAATCGAAACCACAACCTTTTTGGAATGTAGGTCACTGCTCCAACCAACTGAGCCACTTGGCCAGGCCTTCATTCCTTATTTTGAGGTGGGGGAAAAGTGGAACATTGGCACTAAGGGTCTGTTTCAAGCCCAGTTTTAATTTACAAATTAAAAATTTTAATTTACTGAAAAAATTATAGAACCATGTTTTGGCATTGGGGTGATAAATTGAACGTTAGAGGAACTTGTTTTAGGGAAACAACTTTGTACCTTGTAGGCATAGAATAGGATTCCAACTTTGAGAGGTTTTTTGTGCTCCTTTTTAAGTGCCTCTTAAGTGTTTTTAAATTTTTATGTAGCCTGGCCTGTTGTGGGCATTCAGTAGAGTTTAAGGAATGAACTGACTTTTGTTTAAAGGCAGATTGATACAGTAGAATGGTCCTGGGCTGTGTAGTAGTCTTGGATTCTAAGGCCAACCCTGCCACTTCATTAGCTCCCTGACCTTGGACACGCTACATTGTGACCTTGGTTTCAGAATTTGTGGAGTGGAATTGATAATACTTAGCTTACTTGGTTATCATAAGGAATATGTAAGACTATATCTATATTAAAGTTGCTAGCATGGTGTGAGGCTCAGTGGAGTCCTAAAATTGATTGAGCCAAAGCTGTTTTTAGCTACTGTATTATATGGAGACTAGTGACCTGGTGCATGAAATTTGTGCACATTAAAAGGGGATTAATTAGAGGAAATAATATAATATTGCTATTTGCCTTTTCTCTATAATAGAAGTGACAGAGATGAAAGAAAATTAGTAAAATGTATATGAAAACCTTCCTCTAGTCAGAGTCTGGGGCTCACCACAGGACCCAGAGTCAAGTCCCCGTCTCACTTGCACCTCAAAATCGCATGAGACCCAGACCCGCCCCCGCCCCCCACCCCTCCCGCCCCCATTGGTCTAGATCCAAAACTGTCCAGTCCCGCCCTTGTCAAGCCCTGCCAGGCAGAGGGCATACCCTCAGGTCCCCTCACCCGGTGCCAGGATGGGGGGCGTGGCCTGAGGTCCCCCAGACCGGGACCAGGGGCGTGCCTTTAGGTTCTCTGTCAAGCCCCACCAGGTGGGGGAGGGCATAGCCTCAGATCCCTGCTGATTGCTTGGTAAGGCTCCTTATGGGAACTTGTCCTCAGCTGTGGGTGCAGCCATCTTTGTGATGGAGTGATGGTCAGTTAGCACATCCCCTCTTTATTAGCTAGGATGCCTACGCTCGCAACCCTTCAGTCCACAGGCTGACGTTCTATCCACTGAGCCAAACTGCTTTTTCAAGAACTAGTAAGAAGGGATAATTGGGACTTTTTTTTCTCCCTCCACAGGGCTGTGCTTAAGAGTAAAACTTCAGCGGTGTTTACCATTTAAACATAAGGTAAGGAAGATTTTTGTTGTTGTTATTTTATAATAGTTTTATTGATTTAATTCAAGTTATATATTTCACCTATGTAAAGTGTACAGTTTAATAGTTTTTAGTATATTCGCTGAATTGTGCAAAATCACTATTAATTTTGCAACATTATCATCATCCCAATGAGAAACCCTGTACTGATAGCAGTCATTCTCCATTTCTCCCAAACTCTCCCCAACCCCTAGGCAACCACTGTAGATTTTTCTCTCTAGATTTACCTATTCTGGGTGCTTCATTTAAATGGAATTATATCATTTGTGGTCTTTTAAGACTGGCTTCTTTCTCATGAAATAATATTTTCAAGGCACTCGCCAGGTAGCTCAGTTGGGTAGATCCCAATACACCAAGTTTGTGAGTTCAATCTAATCAGGGGGCATACAAGAATCATGCAATGAAAGCATACATAAGGGGAACTACAAATCAATGTTTCTCTATTTTTCTCCAAAATCAATATAAAAAACAAATATTTTCAGAATTTATCTATGTTGTAATATGTATCAGTATTTCATTTCTTTTTATAGCTTCATACTATTCCATTTTGTGGGTGTACCACATTCTATTTATTTATCATTATCTACCATGTACAAGTTTATGTGTGGTCATATGTTCCCATTTGTTTTCCACTTAAGGAGTAAAATTAGTGGATCAAATGGTAACTATATTAAACCTTTGAGAAACTGCCAAACTGTTTTCCACAGCTGCTCCATAATTTCACATTTTCAAAAGCAGTGTATGAGAGTTCTGAATTCTCCACATTCTCACCAGTATTGTATTTTTCATTATAGCTATCTTACTGGGTTGAAGTGATAGCTCATTGAGGTTTTGATATGCATTTCCCTGGTAACTAATAATATTGAATATTTTTTCATGTGCAAAAAAATTTAAATCACGTAATTTGTGCCACATAAAAAGGGCCACAAGAAACCTCTCGAGAGCTCCTATACATGGAGCCACATTCCCTGGTCCTCCCCCTCTCTCCTGTAGGGTCCCTCTTCCCCTTAGGGAAAAAAATCCATCCCAAATCGCTGGACAGGGGAGGTGTCCTCGCACCCTCAGGGCCCGAGGGAGGTTTCCTCGCACCCTCAGGGAGATGAGCTTTCAACAGTTCCCTCTTCCCCTGTCCCCTCCCCTGCTCCCACCCCTTCTCCGAGTGCAGGTCCCTTTAAGGCGACAGTGCCTTCTCTGGCGCCTTCTCTGGTGCCTTCTCCAGGTCAGACTACCAGCAGTGACCACGGGAGCATGGCGGACATCGGGAGCATGGCAGATGCGGACCTGTTTATGGAATGTGAGGAGGAGGAGCTGGAGCCATGGCAGAAAATCAGTGATGTCATTGAGGATTCTGAAGTTGAAGATTATAATTCAGTGGATGAAACTACTACAGTTTCTGAAAGCCAGGAGCCAGTCTCAGCTCCAGTGCCCATCGCTCTCTACGCTTCTGTTGTTAAGCACGGCAGCGGGGCACAGAACAGCAACAGTGCAAAGAGGACTCTTGTCAGACTAATTGTCGAGGACAATCCCCAAATAAAGCGTCGTCGTCGATATAATATGCCTGATGACCAAGAATTGCCACCATATGTTTCTCCATCCGAAAGAAGGCGAATTCGTCTTCAGAATATGTCTGAAGAAGAACGATTGGCACAACGTAACTCTGAAGCCGAAAGAAGCCGGCGTCGTCGACAGAATATGACTGAAGAACAGCGATTGGCACTACGTACCTCTGCAGCGGAAAGAAAGCGGCGGCGTCTACAGAATATGACTGAAGAAGAACGGTTGGCACAACGTACTACTGAAGCCGAAAGAAGCCGGCGTCGTCGACAGAATATGTCTGAAGAACAGCGATTGGCACTACGTAACTCTGCAGCCGAAAGAAAGCGACGTCGTCAACAGAACATGACTGAGGAAGAACGATTGGCACAACGTACTACTGAAGCCGAAAGAAGCCGGCGGCGTCGACAAAAAATGTATGAAGAGCAGTCATCGACAAGTACTACCAGTAGTGGTAGGAACTGCCTTCATAGCGAAAATGAGGTAAATGAGGATACAGTTAGCGAACAGAGTTGTGGTGGAACGTAACACATGTGGTGTTACATGTCAATTTTGCCTATCCCTAAGTTTCTCTGATGAAATGGAGTTATATGTTGCTTTCTCTCGAGTTTGAAGAGCATGTAACGTTTAAAGTTGTAAATACTTCATCACAAGGGAAATTAGTCAAGCACTCTGAAAGTGTCTTTACTCTTAATGTGCTATACAGGGAGATATTAGGATAAGTTTAACCAATTTATCAGTCATTGTTTTTATCGATTTTTTTATATCATGTTTTTGTTTTTATATCATCTTTGTTGTTTTCACTTGTCTTTGTTGTTATATCATGTTATTGTTTATTAATGAATTTATATATTATTTTCATGTACATTTTACTAATTTTCTTTCATCTCTGACACTTATAAAGAGTGAATAGTGATATTAAAATATTTCTTCTAATTAATTTTCTTTCAATGTGCATGAATTCGTGCACCAGACAACTAGTATTGAAATATTTATAGGTGCAAGGATATGATCTAGAACTTGTTACAGAATAATATGGGCACTAGTAGGTGGGTGGAAGGTATAGATGAAACATGATTGGCTAATTATTGAAACTCAGTGATGGTACATGGGATTCATTATAGTGTTCTGTTTTTAATATATATTTTAACTTTCCCATAATCAAACATTTTAATTTAAAATATATAGTCAGTAAGTTGCTAGTAATAGTTATCATAGATACAACTTGTTGGAATTTTTTATCTGTCAACCTCTGTAATCACTACTCTGCTGGCCTAGTAACTATCAGGGTCTAGTCCACTACTGGGCTCTCTGTTTCTCGGAGACTGTGGGACAAACCACTGTTGGCCCATTAATAGCCACCTATATACCCACTCTGCTGGTTTTGCTTTATAGCTAACTGCAGTGACTATTTGCCAAGTTGAACATACAGTTCAGAGGCGTCCATCTTATTCGGTGATTTGAGGTAAAAAAGTTGAGGCAATATCTGCTTTTATCTTTGATTTAGGTATATTGGCTCTCCCCCAAATTTTCTATCTGGTTTTAGCATATTTGTAAGTTAGAAATTACAGCATTGAGAATTTTTTTAGTCAAATGTAGTATATAAAGGACTTGAAAATATTTACAAAATTACTTTTCTCACAAATAAAAAGAATGTAAAATATTTCAATAACAATTAGCCAAGTTTATTAGAATGTGTCTATTAATATGTATTCATGAATGAATCATTACCTTATTAAGTCATCATTTTTACTTAATGCTGTTGACCAGGTCTTTTCTTTATCAAGTTTGATGACATAAAGAGAGAGAAGGCAGCCTACCAGCTCTGTGTTTTCATACCTAAGACCATGGTTGTTTAGAGAGTCTTTTGCATTTCTGAGGTTTGACTCACTAGGAAGAGATGCCATTCTTTTTTTTCTTTTTTTTTTAAAAAAAATATATATTTTTATTGATTTCAGAGATGAGGGGAGAGAGGGAGGGAGGGAGGGAGAGAGGCATTGATGAAATCATTCATTGTTTGGCTGCCTCCTGTGTGTCCCACATTGGGGGTGGGCAGGGGCTCCCAACCTGGGCATGTGCCTTGATCAGGGAATTGAACCATGACCTCTTGGTTCATAGGTCGATGCTCAACCCCTGAGCCACACCAGCTGGTTGAGATGCCATTCCTTAAAGTCTCTGTACTTGCTGAATTAATGCTTATTGATGAATATTTCTTTTATAAAAAAAAATTAGGTGGTGGGGGCAGACTAGAAGGGGTCAATGGAGGAAAGGAGAAATATATGTAATACTTTCAACTATGAATATAGTTTTTTTTAAGTAAGGTGGATTAGCAACAAATTACATTCTGACAAAATAAGTGTTACCTAGTTAAAATATGGTGTTCTTGTTTTTTGTTTCAAGAAACATATGTTATTTTGTTTGTAAGAAAAAAAAGTTATACGTTATTTTGTTTTGCTGGAAAAAAAAAAGAAGAAGAAACCTTAATTTTAGAATCTTTTATTCTTGCAAGGTACCAAACCATCCATTTGGCTACCCTGAGGTATAGTTCATATAGAAATATTATAGCAGGGTAGTCCTAGCCGGTTGCTCAGTGGGTAGCATCAACCTGCAGACTGAAGGGTCCTGGGTTTGATTCTGGTTAAGGGCACATGCTGGCTCAATCCCCAGTATGGGGCATGTAGGAGACAGCCGATCAATGATTCTCTCTTATCATTGATGTTTCTCTCTCTCTCCCTCTCCCTTCCTCTCTGGAAAAATAAAAAAAAGGAAGGAAGCAAGGAAGGAAAGAAGGAAGAGGGTAAATGCTGACTATCCTTTATTTACCATTTCTCGGAATAATGAATCATGCTTAATTTTAAACCAAAGGTTTTATATCTGTTACTTTGTGTCTAGAATATGAGTTAATATTATGCAAGCCAACCCAGGACCAGTGCTCAGGAGGCCAGGGCCAGCTGGAGGTCTGAGGGACACCTGGGACTGCTGCCTTCCACCCCATGGGTTCTGCAGGCCCTATGGTGCAGTACCAGTGGCCTGGCTTGTCACCAGGGAGCTGGATGTCCATGGCTGGCTTGCATGTGGAACCCCTTGCAGGATCCCCATTTGGTGTAGCTACTCCACTTCAATCTGGCATGCCACCTACCATGATGGACCCATTCTGAAAATGCCTGCTTGTGCCCCAGGCCCCAGCCCCAGTGCCTGCCAGCACTGCAGGTTAATGAGGAAGAAGTTGGCAGATAAAGTTCTACCTCAGCAAATTTGGGAGCTTGTCCCAGAGTCTCAGGTATACATGGATCTTCTGACTTTTGAGTGGAAGCTGGACCAGACCATTACTTACAAGCAGATGGAGATCCAGGAGGCTATCAAAAAGCCTCTGCCATGAAAACGAAAGCTGCCTTTAGCAAGGCAAAAGGTGACAGTGTAGGAACTGTAGGGAACTCTGAGTGGGGAGAAAACTCCTGGATGATCCTAGCAAACAGAAGAGGAAGTTCTCTTTGTTCAAGAGCCTCATCGTTGAGCTAGATAAAGAACTGTACTGACCTGACAACTTCCTATTGGAGAGGCATCAGATGCCCCCATCCAGCAGATGGATGGCTTCCAGGTGAAATGGCCTGGATATCTCAATGCCAAGTGTACCCTCTTGCTCATGGGGATCATCAGCCTCCCCAGTACAAGTTGGACTTCTGCTGGCAAGGCTGTTGGGAGTGCAGTCTCTGTGGCTTTATATCAAACACCAATTCCTACCATTACTTCTGCCAGGTCTCAGCTGTGGTCAACTCTGTTTATCCAAGATTCCCATGAAGCTGCCTGGGTTGCTGCAGGACCCAGAACCCATTGTTATCAACCATATCCTTAAGGTGGACCCTAACCAGAAGAAGACAGCTTGTTGTGCCATTGGAGGTGGACAGCCCACTAAAGGCTCAGATGAGCAATTTTCTGGCCTCTACCACCAATCAGTAGGAGATTGCCTCCCTTGATATCAAAATCCATGAGACCATTGAGTCCATCAACCAGCTGAAGACTCAGAGGGATTTCTTGCTCAACCTTAGCACTGACCTTCCAGATTACATCCAGGAATGGCTTCGTTCCCAGCACCAAGACCTCAAGATCATCTCTGATGTGATTGGGAACCCTGAGAAATGAGATGCTTCCTACCACCAGCCCTGAACCCAGGAAGCAGTGTGAATGCATATCTTTGTCAAGATGCAGCAGCCAAGGCAGGAACTGGGGCAGGTGCTGGGAATTCACCTGACCTAACTGAATAGGGATCCCTCCCTTCCTTCTCAGCCTGGAAGGGACCATCCTCTGAGACTGCAGACACAGACACAGGATAAAGAAAAGAGTGAGGGGTATTTTCTGTCACCTTCTACTTCCCAGCTTTAGTTTCATAAATGTCATGTTAGAATTCCTTGTTGCTTGACCCCTAAAGCCTTACTACTTACTTGATAGGCTGGCTTCAGTTGGGTTCACAATGGATGCTTCTGCCCCCTGCAGACAGGCCCAAGCAGGACTGTTGGAGGCCTTGCTTTGATATTATAACTGATAGGTTTTCAAAACCAAAGGCCATGGCTTTGCTTGCTTACAGACTCCCTTCTGGGGCAAGTGCCCTGGCTGGCTCTTGGGGAGCTGGGCAAGGAAGAGGGACACAACTTACAGTCTTCCTACTCTTTCTAAATAGAAGTTCTTTGCCATTCCTACTAGCCCCCCAGCCTTGTTGCTGGTTTTTTCGTTTTCTTTGGGTATTTACATTATTTGGGGAGCAGGTTCTCCTATGCAGGACCCACTTTTTTTGTGCAGGGGATAAGTTGGGTTTGTTTTTTTTAGGGAATTCTATTTGGTGCCCTCTTCTTTATTTTCTTGCTTCAATCTATGCCAGCGGTTCTGGCTGCCATCATCTCCTGGGATGCCAGAGGGCTGCTACCTAGCTCTTGGGTCCAGGGCTATAAAGCCTCCTAGTGGAAGGAGACACTCAAGTTCTCTGGCATGGCCTGAGGTATGGGTGGGGGAGGTGGGAAGAACTTGTTAAAGGGAGGTAGGCTTAGGGCTTGGAAAGTGCCACTTTAGGCAGGTTTAGAAATTTCCAAATTAGTCCTTGTTTATTGGGGTGCCCCCCCCCCCCCATCTGCTCTCACTCCCTCCCCCCCCCCCAAAAAAAAAAAGTTTGGACTAGATGATCTCTAAGGTCTCCATTAGCCATGATATGCTATGATTTTTTCACTCATGAAAAACATCTCAGTAGTAAATAATTATATAAGAATTAGTTCAGCCCTAGCCTTTTTGGCTCATTGGTTAGAGCACATGTGTCAAACACAAGGCCCGCGGGCCAAATCCGTCCCGCCAGGCCTTGCAATGTGGCCTGCACCGCGCTGTCATCACTGCACTCCGCTGCGTTTCCATCACAATGACAGTTTATGACTGTTCAGTAAACCATTCGGCCCGCTATTTAGGCTGGATTTTAGATTTTGGCCCCTTCTCTGATTGAGTTCGACACCCTTAGGTTAGAGCATGGCCCACAGACTGAAGGGTTGTGGGTTTGATTCTGGTGAAGGGCATTACCTGGATTACAGTTTCCCTCCCCTCCCCTGATCAGGGCATATGTTTCTCTCTCCCATTGATGTTTCTCTCTCTCTCTCCCCATTCCTTCCACTCTCTTTAAAAAAAATCCATGGAAAAAATATCCTTGGGTGAGGATTAATAAACAACAAAAAATTAGTTCATATGCTCCATTGTTCCTGAGAAGTAAACATGTCTTTATCTTATAACATGACTTATTTACCATAGGATTTGCAATAATTTTATGGGTTTGACTCAAAAGCTCTGGTTCTTGGAGGATAGCTTATGAGGGAGTGAGTAGAGCAGAACCAGGAGGGTTAGCTTAACCTATATTGTACTTGAGAATAAATTTGTCAAGGTAAAAATGGATGAGAAAAGGAGGATACTGCAAATTATATACTGTGATCCCATTTTTGTAAAATAAAAAAGAATGTCCAACCTTAGGGTGTATGTGTAATATGTGTTAGATTATGGGTGGTGTAGAGGAAAAATATGGAAGAAACTACACTAGATTATTGATGTAGCTTTAATGAGAGGTGGGGTAGGGAGCAAGTTTAGATACTGATTTGGGAGGAAGAATTAGAGTGCAGGAGAGGGATTTCCATAAGTAAAACATATATGAGATCTTATTTGTATAAAATTACATTAGTTGTATTTTAAAAAATGGAATGCCCCCTGCAGACCTTTCCCAGATGACCAAATTAAAAATCATTTAATCCCTTGTTTTAGAGATGAATCTGAGGGATTTGTTCCTAAGTCTTTGATGGCGGAAGAAGGATTTGGGCTTTCTTCCCTAGACTGTTGAGTCCATTTTACATTCCACTTCATTCATCATCTTAGAATGCCCTAAATGTTTTGCTTTTAATATTTTTTTTCCTAGTTGGAAATCTACATTTCTGAAGGAACCCACTCAACAGAGGAAGACAGTAAGTGAATCTTGAATCATTATTAAAAACAACTTCAGAAAGTACTTTATCTGGAATACCAGGTTATTCTGCCAGCCAAGTATCTATTTGGTTTTTCGTAAAAAAGTGAAAAATCAGTTAGTAGCTCTTTCTTAAGGTTGAAACGTAGACATTTTTATGAACTTTTTTTTTTTTTTTAGTAGGACTCTGGGAGAATTAGAGTTAGGCCCTGTGGATATTGACTATTTAGGCTAGTGGTTACACATCTGTAAAGAATATCCAGTTCTAGGAAACTTGACTTACA